AAAAAGTATTCATAACATCAGTTTTTAAAAAATCATTGTTTAGAAAGGTCACAGTTACCTTCTCAATACGAAGTCAACACTTCCCAGTTTATCCAGGAAAAACGGGCTAGAAGGCATTTCAGAATACATCCATTGTACAGACATTGTCTGTTTCTGCAGATGTTAAGGGAAGCCAAAGAGAAGGAGAAGCAGAGGCTGGCACAGCAGCTCACAGCAGAGAGGACTGCACACTATGGGATGCTGTTTGATGAATATCAAGGCCTGTCACACCTGGAAGCCCTGGAAATTCTGTCCAATGAGAGCGAAAGCAAGGTATGGCTACACTGGTCATTAGGAATAATATGTTTATTAATGTGTTCTTAAATGGGGAAGAAACTGAAAATTTTGTCATTAAAAGATGTCACTTTTAGCATCTCATTCTTGTTTTCCTAAGGTCACAAATAATTATACAGGCTGATAATTATGCTCCATATTATTTCTTTGCTGTCCTGTGCCAAGCTTTTGTCCCTCCGCAGCCTCCAAAGGGCCAGCCCAGTAGAGTCACCACTCCCCCAGCTTGTGAAGTCAAAGTTTGCTTGACATCTGGGCCTCAGCCTCCTGGTCTTCTGCCTCCTTTTGGTGATGTAAACCCAGAGCAGAGATGCCCTACCACCCACACCTTTGTTGTGAGCAGTGAAAACAAAGCAGCTGATGTTTCCTTTGGACTGCAGGGTTTAAATAAATTTCCTTTTATGGGTTTTATGATTATCTAATTTATTCAACCATCTTGTTTGGATTCCTGGGCCACAGAGGACAGGATTATTGTCCTGGGAGTTGAAGTTCTAGTTGGGAAAGCTCCCATACAGAAAGTTGGCAAACCTACCCTACCCAAAGGCTTTCATTTCTCCCACTACAGCTCCAAGAAAACAAAACACGTATAGTACAAATCAGCACGATGTGATGATTTTTTTAAAAAAGAGTGAATCTACAGTGGGGGGTATGTGGATGTGTCTTTATTTAGCAAACACTTAGTCACTATTTTAAGCACTTTGGAATGATTAACTCAGTTAATTGTATGTATGATCCTTTTTATGAATGTCAGGCTGACTAT